GAAGAAAGAAAGAAAGAAAGAAAGAAGAAAGAAAGAAAGAAAGAAAGAAAGAAAGAAAGAAAGAAAGAAAGAAAGAAAGAAAGAAAGAAAGAAAGAAAGAAAGAAAGAAAGAAGAGCAGCCGGGACTCGAATCAGCACCCACATGGGATGCCGGGACTGCAGGCAGTGGTGTTACCCACTATGCCACAGTGCTAGCCCCTGTAGTTTTTTTGTTTGTTTTCTTATTTGTTTTTTGTGATACCTTTTTCTGATTTTGGTATCAGGGTAAAGTCAATCACATAAGTTAAAAATGTTTCTTTCTCTTCTGTTGTTTTATTTCCCCCAATTTTTATTTATTTATTTTGCTGGCTCACTCCCTAAATGCCCTCAACAGTTAGAACTGGGCCAAGGCCAAGTCTGGGAGCCAGGAATTCAATTCAGGTCTCCCATGTGAATGGCAGAAACCCAATCACTTGAGGCAACACTGCTGTCTCCCATGATCTGCCTTAGCAAAAAGCTGAAGCCAGGAGCCAGAGCCAGGTATTGAACCCAGGCACTGTGATACAGGACACAGGTGTCTTGACCAGCACCTTAACTCCTAGGCCAAATGCCTGCCTCTCTTGTTTTTTTAAATGAAGAGTCAGTATTAATTTTTCTTTTTTAAGATTTATTTTAGGTGCCAGCTCCATGGCACGTAGGTTAATCCTCTGCCTGTGGCTCTGGCATCCCATATGGGTGCCAGTTCGATTCCTGGCTGCTTCTCTTCCGATCCAGCTCTCTTCTATGGCCTGGGAAAGCAGTAGAGGATAGGCCAAGTCCTTGGGCCCCTGCACCCACATGGGAGACTGGGAAGAAGCACCTGGCTCCTGGCCTCGGATCGGCGCAGCTCCGGCCATTGCGGCCATCTGGGGAGTGAACCAGTGGTAAGGAAGACCTTTCTCTCTGTCTCTCCCTCTCACTGTCTGTAACTCTACCTCTCAAATAAATAAATAAAATCTTTAAAAAATATATTCATTTTATTTATTTTCAAGGCAGAGTTACAGAGATAGAGACAGAAAGAAAGATCTTCCATCAGCTGGTTCACTCCCCAAAAGGTTACCACAGCTGGGGGTTGGCTAGGCCGAAGTCAGGGACCTGGAACTCCATTTGAGTCTCCAACATGGATGGCAAGGCCCAAGTACTTGGGCCATCTTCCACTGGTTTCCCAGGCGCATAAGCAGGGAGCTAGATCTGAAAGGGAGGAGCCAAGACTCCTCCCAGCATTCTTTTTTTTTTTTTTTTTTTTTTTTTTTGACAGGCAGAGTGGACAGTGAAAGAGAGAGACAGAGAGAAAGGTCTTCCTTTGCCGTTGGTTCACCCTCCAATGGCCACCGTGGCCGGTGCACCGCGCTGATCCGATGGCAGGAGCCAGGTACTTATCCTGGTCTCCCATGGGGTGCAGGGCCCAAGGACTTGGGCCATCCTCCACTGCACTCCCTGGCCACAACAGAGAGCTGGCCTGGAAGAGGGGCAACTGGGACAGAATCCGGCGCCCCAACCGGGACTAGAACCCAGTGTGCCGGCGCCGCCGCAAAGTGGAGGATTAGCCTAGTGAGCCACGGTGCCGACCCTCCCAGCATTTTTATGGGATGCTGGCATGGCATCTCAGGCAGCAGCTTAACTTGCTGCACCACAAAACTAGCCCCTATTTCTCTCTTAAATTCTGTCCATTTTGCATCTTATATTTTGGGATTGGTCCCTTTCTCATTATTAAATATCCTCCACCTTTTTTAAAAGACATTTTTTTAAAAGTCTATCTTATCTGATATTAGTGTAGCCACTCCAGCTCTCTTCTTGTTGCATTTTCCCTTATTTTAGTTTCAACATATTTGTATGTTTAAGTCTAAGTGTGTTTCCTATAGATTGCATATAGTTGGATCATATTTTTTCATTCACTCTGACAGTCTGTCTTTTGCTTGGATTGTTTCATCTACTCACATTTAATGTTATTACTAATATGGTAAAATTTACATCTGTAATTTACATCTGTCTGTCTCTCTGTTATTGTTGTTGTTCTGTTTCTCCTATGGTGCCTTCTTTTGTATTAAGTGGATGTTTTCTAGTGTAGTGAGTAATATTTTGTTATAATATTTTAATCTTTTAATTATCCTTAAGTTGTTTTTTAGGCTATTTGCTTAAGTGGTTACTCTAGGGCTTACAAATATACATCTTGACTTACAAAAGCTACCTGGGATTTATTAAAAAAATTAATTTCAATGTAATTCAAATAATGGATTTTACTTCCATAGAACTCCATTCCTCTCCCCACTTTTGTGTTAATATTGTTACATGTATTGCATGTGTGTAATGTATGTAAAACAAACAATACTCATTGTTATAATTATTACTGAAGAAGAAAGGTCAGGGGCCGGAGCCGTGGCACAGTAGGTTAATCCTCCACGTGTGGCGTTGGCAGCCCCTATGGGTGCTGTTTCTAGTCCTGACTGCTCTTCTTCCAATCTAGCTCTCTGCTTTGGCCTGGGAAAGCAGCAGAAGATGGCCCAAGTGCTTGGGCTCCTGTACCCACGTGGGAGACCTGGAAGAGGCTCCTGGCTCCTGGCTCCTGGCTCCTGGCTTTGGATCGGAGCAATTCTGGCCATTGCGGCCATTTGGGGAGTGTAAGGCAGAGTAGTGGAGCTCTTCATCTTTCAGGCCTGCCTCCGCTCTTAGACAGAACCTCTGCCCTACACTGAGGTAGAGGTGGGGACAGTGGCTCCTGCTGTATGAGTAGGCACTAGGCAGTGGGTGGTAACCCTGGTCTTCTTGGTTTGACCTTTCCAGGGCAGAACCTCTATGAGCAAGCTCAAGTGGAGCAATTGAGGTTCCAATACAACTGGCCTACCACACCTGGGAAAAGCTTCTGCCCTATAAGGAAGGGAAGGGAAGGGAGTCTCAGGGCTCTCAGCCACACCAGCCCAAACAGAACTTCTATAGAAATCATGTAGGAAAGACTGGTGTCCCAAAGAGAACATCCAAAGTACAGAATGATTAACAGTGTCACAGAGAGGTCATATAAGTAAGCGTGGAAATAAAATCCATAAGCTCTAGTTATAGGGGTCCTTGATAAGATTTTGGGTGAAGGTGTTTTAATGCGAAATATAGTTGTAGTCAAAACCAGAGTATTAAGGACAAAAGATTAAATGGATTGGGGAATTAATAGAGATTACGCTTTTGAAATTTTAAACCACTCAAGGTTCCACATAACTAGGTTACATTTTTTGTTTTTCTCTATTTATTATGTCTTATTTCTTTTCCCCACAGGTGAGACCTGGAACCCCTTCAAATTACAGTACCAGCTAAGAAATGTACGAGAGAGAATTGCCAAGAACCTTGTGGAGAAGGGTATTTTGACCACTGAGAAGCAGAATTTCCTGCTTTTTGACATGACTACTCATCCAGTGACCAACACAACCGAGAAACAGAGACTAGTGAAAAAACTTCAGGATAGTGTTCTAGAGCGGTGGGTAAATGACCCTCAGCGGATGGACAAGCGAACACTAGCTCTCCTGGTGCTTGCCCACTCCTCTGATGTGCTAGAGAATGTCTTCTCCTCTCTGACAGACGACAAGTATGATGTGGCAATGAATCGAGCCAAGGACATAGTAGAACTGGACCCTGAAGTGGAGGGGATTAAGCACAGTGCCACAGAGATGATCTGGGCTGTGCTGGCAGCCTTCAATAAATCCTAAAGCCAGTAGGTGGGTTCTCCTATCCCCTTGCTGGTTGTTGACCGTCAGAGACCCATACTGAGTTTTCTGTGATGAGCTGTTTTCATGGCTTTTTTTCCTCCCCTTCTCTTGAATCAGACTCGTGATTGGAGGAGAGCAACTTCAGGGCTTCTTCGTAGACTTTGGCCATTGTAGTAAGCAGGTTTTATTCTCCCTGTCCTTCCATTCCATAGGTGAATGAACTGGGTGAACCTATACACACCCAATAAACACTTTCTTCCATTTCTTGGCTTAGTTTCATCCACCGTGCTTTTTGATCAACAGAAATATTTAAGCAAGATTTGAGATTCTCCAGCAACAAAATGTGAATGAGATGAAGAGCAAACCATTTATTATACTGTTCTGTTTTCTGTCTTAAATAGATGTTTTCACAGCCTTTGTCTCTCTCAAATTCTGCTGAATAGTATAGCTAATTGAAATAATTGTTGGAGCAGGCATTTAGCTTAGTGGTTAAGCTGTCAGTTAGGACACCTGGCATAGTAACTGGTTTGACACCCAGCTCTGGCTCCTGACTCCAGGTTCCAGTCAACAAAGACCCTGGGAGGCAGCAGTCATGGCTCAGCTAACGTGGGAGACCTGAATTGATTTTCCAGCTTCCAATTTGGGCCAGATCCACTCCCAGCTGCTGTGGGAATGTTGGGGAGTGAACTAGCAGATGGGAGTTCTGTCTGTTTCTATCTCTGTCTCTGCCTCTCAGAAGAAAAAAAAAAGGAAGGGAGGAGAGATGGAAGGAAACAAGGCTGGCTGCCAAACTATCTTTGGATGGAGGGCCGTGGAAACAAAACTAATTTTTGGAGCAAATAGTCTCTGAGATTATATGCCTTGCTAGTGATTTTCTCATCTTTCCTTTTCTGTGATAATGAGAAAGTCCCAAATGTGATTGCCTAGATCTCATAGTATGCTCCCTCTTAGCATTATCACACTTCCTCATTTGCTGAGACAAAAAAATCTAACAGAAAAAAAAATGTATTTCGCCCACCTCCTTCATGTAGTCCACATTAGAATTAGTAAAGGAAGGGGGGGTGGGGTGGGGCATGAGAATGTGCATCCTTCGGCAGGAGTGTTCTGTTTCTCCAGACTACTGTAAATGTGTCTTCTCTGAATGAATGGAGTGAATTGTAAGCTTCAGTTGCCGAATAGCAGCTCCTTGAGTACAAACAGTAGATCTGATCTTCAGATCTTCTTGTTCCTTGGGGTTTCTTTGTTTCTGCTTCATGTATAAATTGATAAATCCTGTCCATACTTTAGAGTTCTGGGAGTTTTATCTATATGTAGTCATCCGTCTTGTTTACACATTAAAACACCTTCACCAGCCGGCGCCACGGCTCACTAGGCTAATCCTCCGCCTTGTGGCGCCAGCACACCGGGTTCTAGTCCCAGTCGGGGCGCCGGATTCTGTTCCAGTTGCCCCTCTTCCAGGCCAGCTCTCTGCTGTGGCCTGGGAAGGCAGTGGAGGATGGCCCAAGTGCTTGGGCTCTGCACCCATGGGAGACCAGGAGAAGCACCTGGCTCCAGCCATCGGATCAGCGTGGTGCGCCGGCCGCAGCGCGCCGGCCGTGGCGGCCATTGGAGGGTGAACCAACGGCAAAGGAAGTGTCGCTCCCCCTCTTCATGGAGGAACGACACAGGACCCTGCGCTGTTCTTTTGTCTGCTCGGCCCTTCCCGGGTTTGCTGCTGGTTCTTCCCGGGTTGGCTGCCGACCCCTCCACCTCCGTGGAGGGGCGGCTCCCCCTGCCACTTTCCCCACTTCTGTGGGGGAGCGGCACACCGCCGGCCGGCTCTCTCAGGGGCTGCACAGGTGTTCCTTCAGATAGATGTTCCCTGGTGCATGTTGTCTCTCTCCTCCTTTATAGTCCTCTTCCACCAATCCCAACTCTGCTACCCACACGCCGAGTACGCTGCTCTCCTCCAATCAGGAGCAGCTCCTGCAGCTTGTCAAGTTGGTGAGAGGCAGCTGGGTAGAAGCTGTTTCCTCCTCTCCCAGCGCCATATTGTGGGAGAGCAGATGCATAGAATAAGTCTTAATTCCAGTAACAGTCTAGTCCGAGTTGCTCCCCACAGGAAGACCTTTCTCTCTGTCTCTCTCTCTCACTGTCCACTCTGCCTGTCAAAAAAAAAATAAAAAATAAAAGAATGATCCTATTTAGCGGGGCAATTTGGCATCATAAAGTCCAATGTTTGGGGTTATAAAGAGGACAGGCACTAAGTTGTTCTAGGTGCTGCCTATTGGTCACTGCAGAGAGACAGACTAACAAAGGGCTGATACAGGTGACCCAGATCTGCCATCGGATCCTCTGATTAGAAGTAATGAAATGTGGGCCGGCGCTGTGGCTCACTAGGCTAATCCTCCGCCTTGCGGCGCCGGCACACCGGGTTCTAGTCCGGGTCGGGGCACCGGATTCTGTCCCGGTTGCCCCTCTTCCAGGCCAGCTCTCTGCTGTGGCCTGGGAGTGCAGTGGAGGATGGCCCAAGTCCTTGGGCCCTGCACCCCATGGGAGACCAGGATAAGTACCTGGCTCCTGCCATCGGATCAGCGCGGTGCGCTGGCCACGGCAGCCATTGGAGGGTGAACCAATGGCAAAGGAAGACCTTTCTCTTTGTCTCTCTCTCTCACTGTCCACTCTGCCTGTCAAAAAAAAAAGAAGTAATGAAATGCTTTTAACTTCATCTACCCAATCTAGCACCAAAAAACTCCCCAATTCAGTTAACATCTAAAAAATGTTTCCCCTCAAGTGTCTGTCAGGTGAATAGAGATATAAATGCAATTGAAACAAATTCTGAATGTGAGGCTGGGTCAGGTTTTAGTCTGACTCTGAAAGTGCAAAAGCCAGTCCACGTGTGGTCTCCGTGGGACTTCTCTTTTCGGCCCATTTGAATAATTTGGCATGAACTGAAATCGGGTTTTTCGGTGGAAAGTTTCAGCTTGACTAGGGGTAGAAGTTGAGTTCTTTCTTGCAACTCTTAGTCAGTGTTCATTTTTATATAGTGTCAATAAGAGGAGGATGTCTTTAGTTTGGATCTGCATCATGTTCACTGCCAAACACCTTCTCATTTAATGCATATGGTCTTCACATTTCTGTATAATAAAGATCAGCTATTGCCTCTCTGATTCCTCTGTGCACAGTTTTATAACTTCATTGTTTTAACTGGAAATAAGAGCTTTCCATGCAATGCTAGTGAGGCCTCCCCCTTAACACTAGCATATCATCCTCTGTTTTGTCCTGTGTAGAAAACAGAGAAAAAAAAAAAGAAAGTTTATTGTAACATTGTATAGACTGGGGGACACTGCATACCAGTGCTGACCTGAACACCAGCTGATGTAAAGTCTGCATAGTATCTCCATCTCAGTCAAAGTAAGTTACCCAATTATACCATAACTACCAGGAAGAAAGTGAGTATGACCTGCCCTCCTAATGTCTACTTGCAAGTGATGCCTGAATTTATCTAAAAGCTAAAAGCCTGAGATCCGAAAGGTAGATAACACATCTATCACAGAGTTAACATGTAAACATACCATTGTGCTCATAACTGGCTTATTGTTCTTCCTTTCTTTACAAAGGAAAAACAAGTAGTTTATTTATTAGGACTGTTTATACTTTCCTGCTATTTTTATTTAAGACAAAGCACTGTCTCCATAGTCGTGTTCATGCAATGTTTTGTAAAATGTGTTACAAAACCCCCTGAATGCACGTGCACAGTGAGGTACCTTGCTACAATGCAGGTTTCTAGTAAATCAGTCTCTGGGGTTAGTACTTTAGAAAGATTCATTTTCAACAAGCTCTGTAAAAGCTTGCATGTTAAAATTTTAGAATACCAATCTTATTTTATTGCCTGCATTTTCTTTTTTTTTTTTTTTTTTTTTTTTGACAGGCAGAGTGGACAGTGAGAGAGAGAGACAGAGAGAAAGGTCTTCCTTTTGCCGTTGGTTCACCCTCCAATGGCCGCCGCGGCCGGCGCGCTGCGGCCGGTGCACCGCGCTGATCCGATGGCAGGAGCCAGGAGCCAGGTGCTTTTCCTGGTCTCCCATGGGGTGCAGGGCCCAAGCACCTGGGCCATCCTCCACTGCACTCCCTGGCCACAGCAGAGGGCTGGCCTGGAAGAGGGGCAACCGGGACAGAATCCGGCGCCCCGACCGGGACTAGAACCCGGTGTGCCGGCGCCGCTAGGCGGAGGATTAGCCTAGTGAGCCGCGGCGCCGGCCTGCCTGCATTTTCATTCATCCAAAAAAATGAGAACTTAGAAACTGACTGGCACTTGCTAGGTACTGACATAACACATGCTTCTAACTCCCAAGAATGCATATTTAAATGAGCAAGAAAGATACTTTGTGATAAATACTCAAGTAAAAGTATAAACTTAATACTTCGAAGCAAAAACAAAGAACTTTCTTCCTGGGAATATTAGGAAAAACATTGAGAGTTATATTTCCTTATAGTGGTTATCATATGCTGGGCACTTTTGTTGTCAGGTACCATGCTAATTGGTTTTTTTTTTTTTTTTTTAATTTTTTTAGAGAGGTAGATACAGAGAGTGAGGTCTTCCATACACTGGCTCACTCCCCAGATAGCCGCAATGGCCAGCCGAAGCCAGGAGCTAGGAGCTTCTTGCGGGTCTCCCACGTGGGTTTAGTGGCCCAAGGACTTGGGCCATCTTCTACTGCTTTTCCAGGCCATAGCAGAGAGCTGGATCGGAACTAGAGCAGACAGGAGTCGAACCAGTCTCCATATGGGATGCTGGTGAAGGCCAGGGCTTTAACCAGCTGTGCCACAGCACCGGCCCCCCCAGTTGGTTTATGTTTTATCTCATTTATTCCTCACAACCCTAAAAAACCCTTCAAGGTTCTTTTAAAGAAAACTCGAAGGCCGGCGCCGCAGCTCACTAGGCTAATCCTCCGCCTTGCAGTGCTGGCACACCGGATTCTGTCCCGGTTGCCCCTCTTCCAGGCCAGCTCTCTGCTGTGGCCAGGGAGTGCAGTGGAGGATGGCCCAAGTGCTTGGGCCCTGCACCCCATGGGAGACCAGGAGAAGCACCTGGCTCCTGCCATCGGATCAGCGTGGTGCACCGGCCGCAGCGCGCTGGCCGCGGAGGCCATTGGAGGGTGAACCAACGGCAAAGGAAGACCTTTCTCTCTGTCTGTATCTCTCTCTCTCACTGTCCACTCTGCCTGTCAAAAAAAGAAAGAAAGAAAGAAAGAAAGAAAGAAAGAAAGAAAGAAAGAAAGAAAGAAAGAAAAAAAGAAAAGAAAACTCGAGAGGTGATAGGCTTGCCTGAAGACACAGTGCCAAACGTGAGTTCAACCTAATACTCTCCATTTGAACTCAGTCTTCTAAAAAAAAAAAAAAAAAACTGATTGATTGATTTGAAAGGCAGAGTTACAGAGAGGCAGAGGCAGAGAGAGAGAAAGAGAGTCTTCCATCCTCTGGTTCACTCCCCAGATGGTTGCAACGACTGGAACTGTGCAGATCTGAAGCCAGGAGCCAGGAGCTTCTTCTGGGTCTCCCACACGGGTGCAGGGGCCCAAGCACTTGGGCCATCTTTTACTGCTTTCCCAGGCCATAGCAGAGAGCTGGATCAGAAGTGGAGCAGCTGGGACTTGAACCAGCACCCATATGGGATGCCAGCACCGAAGGCGGAGGATTAACCAAATGAGCCACAGCGCCAGCCCCCTAAGTAAAATCTTAATTATCTCCTACCTAAAGTTTTCAGGGGAACCCTAGCTAGACTATCCACCTCTAGTATCTTTCAGCTTGGAATTCTGAATATTTTTACTTATTAGTAACAAATTTATCTTCCAAAAGAGCAGTCCTGATCTGCCATTCTCTGGCCTAAAAACCTTAAATGTCTTTCATTGATCACTGAACTATTCAGAAGTTCCTTAACCTGGCATTCAAAGCCCTCCACGTACTGGCCTCGAATCTGTTTTTCTAGACTTCATGCAATGCCTGTGACCTATTATACCCTACCTTCTTTCATCTTGACCTGAAAAACTCCTAGGTTCTTTAAAGCTCATTTCAAATACCATTTCTGTTATGAAGGCTTTTTTAGACCCTAAACTGACCATAAACCTTCCTTTGAACCCTGAAGCACTTCATTAATGCTTTTATTTGGATGCTTTTCAGATTTCACTTTGTGTGGTAGTCATTTCTGTAGGCCAGTGCTCTTCAAACTTTCCCATTAGCAGTGCACCTAACTGGGACAGCACTATGGCACGGCTAGCCGCCACTTAGGATCCGCACAAGTCAGACTGGAGTGACAGGTTGAATCGATGGCCCCCAAGTGCTTGGGTTCCTGCCACCCATGCGGGAGATGCAGGTGGAGTTCCAGATTCCTGAGCTCCTTGCCATTTGGGGAGTGAACCAACAAACAGAAGATCTCTCTCTCTCCTCCTTTCTCCTTTTAACTAAATAAAGCTTTAAAACCAAAACAAAACCTGTGCTACCGGTTTCAAGATTTGTCCGCCCTGAAAAAATGTCAGACCTATCCTAAGGGTTAAATTGTGGAACACCAACCAGTGTCCTGCAAAGCGACGGGGGGGGGGGGGGGGGGGCTAGGAACCAAGTGATACACCGGAACACTGTTGAGTCCCCTTTTAAAGTCCACTCTGACCTCTAAATTATCCTCCGGAAGACCAACAGTTTTCTGCTAACATAATGCAAAGCTTAAGGTTTACAACCTTTGGCCCCTCGGACGGTCTCCAAGCTCCCAGAGCACGGGGCGATAGAGCCCACCAAAGCAGCAAAAAAAAAGCCCAAGCTAGCAGTCCCACCCCTAGGATCCCCCGCAAGCTTCCAATTGGTTCCTGTGGTTCACTGTCTTCCCAGGTTGGTCTCCCAGCTTGTCCGTCGCCTCCAAAGAGCCCACATTTAGCCAGCGACTATTGGCAGATAGTTACGTCATTGCCCCTATCTACCGCACTGCCATTGGCTCCCATAGGAAGGGGCGGTCGTAACGTCACGGGCGAGGGCCGCCATTTTGACTGAGCAACCCTAGTGACAGGAGCCGAAGCAGCAGCGCAGGTTGTCCCCGTTTCCCCTCCCCCTTCCCTCTGTGGTTGATTTCCCGGGCCCCCTACACTCCACAACCCCGGCTCTGCCATGTCCCAGAAACAAGAAGACGAGAACCCTGCGGAGGAGACCGGCGAGGAGAAGCAGGTGAAATGGAGGGGGTGCGGGCGGGCGAGCCAGGGGCGATCGTGATGGGGAGGGAGACGGTCTCCCACCGGTGCGGATTGGTCGCCATGGTCTCAGACTCTGCAGGGGTTGGCCACTTCTTGCGTCACGCAGAGCAGGCGTCTGCACGGCCTGGTGCTTTGGCATTGGTTAGTTGGGTCTGTTGTCAGTCAGTGCCGTACCCTTCCTGATTGGTCAATAGGACTAAGGCTGAAACCATGGAAGCAGCGCTGTGATTGGCCTGGCTTGGGCGCGGGGCGGGTGTTTGGAAAGACTGGGTGAATGAAAGGGGGGCTGGTGGTCCTGAATGCGATAGGTGTTGAGGGTTAGTAGAGGTGAGTGACCCGTGCACCAGGCAGGGCCCCCTGTCCCCAGTCCGCAGAAAGGTACAGAACGGCGTAAAGACGTCTAAAAAGGACCAGCGGTAGGGAAGCAGAGCAGAAGAGTAATCCTGGCTGGCTTAGGCGGCAACTTTCTCAAGAGGCCTTATTTTTGATAGTTGAAGATGGCCTATTGTTCGCCTTCTGTGAGGACCGAACTAGATCGAAGAGGACTAGCGTTCCAAACTTAGTAATGGAGGTTAGACCTGGCAAAGACGCCGGCAGTGGTGACGAGAGACACCATCTTCTTCCCCAGACTTCCAAGGCGGTGGGACTTAGTCCACCGGGATTCTGTGATGGAAACACACGCCAAGTAAACCCCCCTGGGGCTTGTATTTGACTTCCAACATTTAGTGCTGGACTCGAGGACCCGTGATGCTCCTGGTGCTCAATGTATGCCTTATTTCCGAGAGAAGGGGATGAAATCTCGCTGCAAAGAGCCGCCCGTTGATTCCAGGCCCTTCTAAAAGGCCACCAGCAAGGGGCAGCAGGGTCCTACGAACCAGTTGAACTCTTGGCATTTCCCCAGACTTCCACCATTTCCCCCCTTGGGGTAGGTGTTGATTTTTTGGTGAAAACTGGTGGGTACATACTAGTGAACCTACTGATCATGTTCATCTCTGGTTACCTGTCAGCTTTCTACCACGATATTATGGAAATATTGAAGCAGTGCTGCACTGCCGCCTAGGTGGAAAAGGCCACACAGCTAGTGTGCAGGGAGCCTTACCAGATGGCTGTCCTACCTTAAAAAGAAGGGAATATCTCAGCAGACTTAGCCCTTTGATTTCCCATTTGACCTGCGGGACAGCCTAGGAAACCTACTCACCTTGTGTCACCAGAAGTCCTGGCTAGCTCTATTTTTCCCTTGTCTTTCCTAGTGTCTGTGCTGAGTGAGCCATGACCTGCTCTGTGATTACTATGTTTAGTTATTACCTTTAATCCAGTACTGACAGATACTGGGTGGTTCCTTGGGCAAAGTGTGAGAAGTAGCGTGTCTTTTTCTTCTCATCATACAGTCATCTTGAACTTCAGGGATTTGAACAAAGGTCTAACTTAAAGTGGATGTGCTGGCGCTGTGACATAACAGGTAAAGCCACCGCCTACAGTGCCACCATCCCATATGGGCACGGGTTCAAGTCCTGGCTACTCCACTACCGCTCCAGCTCTTCTGTGGCCTGGGAAAGCCCAAGTCCTTGGGTCCCTGCACCCTCATTGGAGACCTGGAAGAGACTCCTGGCTCCTGGTTTCGGATGGGCTCAGCTCCAGCTGTTGGTGGACATCTGGAAAGTGAACCAGTGGATGGAAGATCTCTCTCCTTCTCTCTGTCTCTGCCTCTCTGTAACTCTACCTTTCAAATAAATAAATAAATCTTTTAAAAAGATATATGGATATAGATATATAAAGAGCGGAGTGGAGATAGCATGTTTACCAGTAGGTGGATCTCCAGGGAAGTAGATCATGTAATAATCAGATATTAAAAGCAGTTATTTCTCGGTCTTTAATTCTATTTGGCTCATTTGTTTCTTCCAGGACACACAAGAGAAAGAAGGTATTCTCCCTGAAAGAGCTGAGGAAGCAAAGCTAAAGGCCAAATATCCAAGCCTAGGACAAAAGCCTGGAGGTTCTGACTTCCTCATGAAGAGGCTCCAGAAAGGGGTATGGGGCACAATCTCTTACCCTCTTACTTTGGAGCTAAAGTGGACTCGGGATAAAGTCTGTAGAGGTTCTGCTGGACACTTTTCTGAAGGTTCTGTTGTGCAGCGATATGAATTAGAAACTCGCAAAGAGCATGGCATATTATTATTGTAAATGCCTGATACAGTATCAGTTCTCTTCTAGTTTCCCATCTAGGGAATTAAGACTTCCTGTAAGAGCACTTGGATATGTGAGGAAAGGGGGAAAAATGTTGAAGGCTGGAATGCAGACTGCCACCAGACATTTGCCCAATTGGGGATAGTGCTTTTTAAGGATTGGAGATAAATTTTAGGGTACATCGTATCAGAAAAAGATCAAGTTGTCTGCCTACAGAAATCCTCAATTTGAGATGAACAGGTTTCTTCAGTCCTTGAAGTTAGCAGCAGCCATCAGTTAGACTCCCTCAAGAGAATTAACTGTTCCTGCCCAGAGTGGTTCTCGCTTAGAGAAAGTCTGCCCTCAAAGCCATCTAGCGGCTGCTCGGGTCTCCAGTCCCCAGGAGCACCTGCAGCTGACAGAGGGGTTGTAAGTCATGAAGCAGGAGTGTGCCCCTCTGTGTGGGGGAAATGAAGAGTTAAACCTGTCCCTGTGGAGAATCCCAGTAACTGAGTCTTAGTCATAGATGATAATGCGATGCTGGTTTGCAGCTTACCTTGCTGTAGGCAAAGCAGGCGTGGGCAGGCTGTCACAGCCACGGAACATGTGTGGGAGTGGCAGGAGTCAGCACATTATCCTCATGAGCAAGCCCAGTTTCTGTTCCTAGTCTGAGAGAACAGTTTTGAATTTTGAAGGTGTTGGCTTGGATTTGATCTGCCGTTTGCTAGGACAGCCCTAGCTTGACCCTTCTCGTCCATCTTACTCATTTCTGGTTCCTTGGCACTGATCTGTTGCTTTGGACTTGGTAAGGTCCTCATTAAGCCCTTATGAATGAAGCAACTTGGGATGACCCATCCTGTACTGAGGAGGGTACAGAGGATGTAGGGAGTATCCCTTGATTCTGCAAACACATACTGTTGCTAGGAGTCTGATGCATACCTGAAAAAGGCAGAGCGCACTGGGGAGGAGCAGTAAGTGTGTGTGATGTTAAACGGTGTATGCGTGAAGTTAATCAAAGATGACTTCTTGGAAAATGTGAGTGTGGTTTCTTTATATTGGATGTGAGATGTCAGTCTCCTTGCTTTTGAGGAAGGCCAGAACTCCTCACTCACCTAAACCTCATTCTTATCTCTTAGCAAAAGTACTTTGACTCAGGAGACTACAACATGGCCAAAGCCAAGATGAAGAATAAGCAGCTGCCAAGTGCAGGACCAGACAAGAACCTGGTGACTGGTGACCACATCCCCACCCCACAGGATCTGCCCCAGAGAAAGTCCTCACTCGTCACCAGCAAGCTTGCGGGGTAACCTGGGCCCCCCTCTCCTCCCCTTCCTCACCCGCTGGACTTTATGTATTATAGGCAGGGATGGAATTGGGCAGCTAGTCAGATCCTCCCAGATTGCTAGCCGAAAATGCTGCTGCCGGGGCTACCGAGGAGTTCACGTGGGTTGAAGAGGGGCTCTTGAGTTCATTTCTTTGGTTACATGGAGACTTCGCACCTTCACTGTAGCCCAGGTAGGGGCCGGGAAATAGGAAAGACCAGGATTGGATGATGCTGCAAACTTTTTCTCGGTGAGAAACTGGAGAGAGGTCATTTCTCCTCTTGGAAGATAATATCCCAAAGTGGTTAGGCTGAGCCTTGGGAATAATATGGCAGGTTGAACAGCCCTGGGCTAACCTGACGTGTTGGGAAAGGTAGATGGGATGAGATGTGTTTTCTGTGCTTCTGAGTGTTGTGTCCCTCGGGCTGCTGTTGCTTTGTGTGTTCCCTGCGGCAGGCAGAGAGAGTCCTCACCCAGGCCTGAGTGGTCTGCCTGAAACTGCAGTGCCCAGTTAACCTCTACTTAGTGTGGCTTACAGATTGCCCTGGCTCTTAAATAATGTAAAGATTGGCAGACATTGTTCACAGAAGATGGGCACCTTCTCTCTCTCTCTCCCTGCATGTTGCTTTTCAGAGTGTCATGGGATAGTAGGAAGAGCAGTGGTGTAGGAGTCTAGACATCTAGGTTCTGGGTCCACTTGGCCTCAGCAGTACTGATGTAGAACCTCAGTCAAGTCATTTAGTCTCTCTGGATTTCTATTTCCTCATTGTAAAAATAGTTATTAAATATACATAAAATTGATGGTGATTGTAAAATCCTATAACTGCCAGCAGAAAAATTCTGTGCTGTGCGTTGGGTGAGCCTCTGTGCTGGGCAAGTGCAGAGGGGACCCTCCATCAAGGACAGAAGAAGTTGGAGTTTGCAACAGAACCTCATAGTCCTGAGCGTCAGATTCTTAAGAAGCTAGCCACGGGCCCCACCCACTTTTTCCCACAGCGCACGTCTGGACCTTAGCTGCTCAAGAACTGCTCCAGCAGCAGAGTTCTTGGCTGTGGAAACACGCTTGGTCATGCACACGTGGAGAGCCGTGCTTCAGGTGTAATTGGGTGCCAGGTGTATTGTTAGGGAGAGAGAAAAGGAAGGGGTAAACCACTGCAGGGCTGGAGCAGCAGGTTTTAGGAGATGATTCACCTTGGAGGAAGCTGGGGGGACGAGGGAGGGAGACAGAAATCCCTGCCTTCCTAGAGCGCAGTAACGTAGCTCTTGTGCAGTGAAGAGGGGTGGCGGTGGTGAGCCTGAACAGGTGGAGGAAAGGGGCTGCCGGTGGCACCGCTTGGCCTGAATCTTACTGAGTGTAACCTGCTTGATACGGCAGGAGGGCCAGGGTGAGAACTTACTGTTCAAAAGTGCAAGATTCTGGAATCCTCTCTTGCTCTTTGACCTCACAATTCTGAAATGCCAAACATTTGGCTTGATGAGGATGCCTGATGAATTTGCTGGTGTACATGTAGGAGAATAAGGTGTGTATCTGCTTCTTCCTGACTGGCCGTTCAATGTTCAGGCTGTCACTCAGATTGGATAGGAAAAGGTTGGTGAGGAAGGCATGGAGAAGAGAGCAGGCTCCCTGGCCCCCAAATTCCTTGACTGTCACTTGTAATTGTATATAATTTTTGTGTTCCTTGCTCCATTTCCTCATGCTGTCATCCTTAATCAAAAGTCCATGTGGGAAGGGGAAAATGCTGAACATCATTGTATAGTTTCCTTGACTGTCCCGACCATAATGTACATAAATATGTCATGTTATTATATATATAAATATATATATAATTTTGTACGTTTTCTTCATCTCTGATCTTCTCGAATTCTGTACTTTTTCTTTTCTGTGTCAGCTGCCTTCTCTCTCCGTCAGTTTGAGTCCTCAAGAGTTATGGTCACACAAGTCTGATTTTAGCAAAGGAGCAGGGAAATCAGAAAAGCTGTTGATCTCACTCCCTTCCTACCTAGTCATCTTCAGGGCTGAGAAAACAAAGAAACGCGCTGCATTCTGTATATGCCACCTGTTTCCATAGCTTGAAGCACAGAGCATCCTCAGCAAGGAAAAGTCATTTTATAACCCAAATGCAGATTGCTTTGGTTAAATTACTAAATCCACTCGAAATATCGTGTGTGTGGTCTGGCCTTGGCCTCCACGCAGTGACCACTGTGCCACCTCAGTGTCGGTGCTGCAAGTGGCTGTGGCCAAGCTCTGCAAGCAAGCCCGCTTTGAGCCAGGCTGTGCACCTCCCTGGAAACCTCCAGCAATTTTGATCTCGTCTAAAGAATTGTTTTTCTGTGTTTGTTTTCCATGAGTAGTTCCAAAAAGGTAGAAAACATTGTTCTCTAGATAGGGAAAGACTAAAATATTCTTTTTTTTTGATTACTTTTTGCAACTTCCTTATAGATAGGAATGAGACATATGCCAGGTAGCCTAGTGATTATTAAGTATGAAGGAATCATGGGGTAGAATCTGGGATGGAATTCAGGGTTTTTCCCCTATTACTTGACCTTGTTTTTTGTTTTGTTTTGTTTTGTTTCTTCTATGTTCGTTCACAGCGGCCAAGTTGAATGATGCTGCCCGGGGCTCCGCCAGATCCTGAGACGCTGCCCTCCCTGGGTCCTGTGCTGGCTCCTGCCCCTCCCTGCCTTTGCAGCCAGGGGTCAGGTGGTGGCCCAGGTGCGGGCTGGAGAGGCAGAAGCCCCTGCCCGTTGGTGTCCCAGCACATGGAGCCCCTTGGGCCGAGCACCAAGACCTTGAACCTTTTTTGTTTTACCTTTTTTCCAAATAACTGTTGGGAAAAAAATCTCAATGAAATCCTGGGGGTGGGGTTGAGAGGGTGGGGTGGGAGATTTGGGGGAATATGAATTAGGGCTTGAAGTCGATCAAAACATTCCTGACTAGCCTCCTTCTTAACTGCGCAACTGGTGTGGGCTGCTGTGAGCGGGAGGAGGTGGAGCAGACTGGAGCTGAGGGACCACTTCAGCTCTGTAGATACATGCCTTGTTCGGATGTGGCTGGAGACCTGGTGTTAGGTGAGAGAAACTGTCGGTCTACGCATGACTCCTGCAGACAGCTCCTCTGGGTGCGCAGAGCAAGCTGAGAACTCATGTCAATTGTTCATTTGAAGAAAGTTCTATCCTTGAAATAGACTTGTTGTGGGGAGAAGGGCAGTGAGTGTGGGGAAAAGGAGCGATGAGCGTGGGGAGCCCCACGGAGTCCAGGGGACTTTTTCAGTATTTGAAATAAACAACAAAAAGACCCACAAAAAAGAAACTCAACCTAGAAATACTCTGAAGCAGTTGGTGTGTTTTATTGGGGTTTGGGAGAGGGAAGAAAACCATATTGAAGACACCATTCAAGGGAGAAGCTGGTGTGGGTGCCTGCGTTTCTGAGGAACTGGAATGTGGATGTGGCTGGGCTGCCCACTTCCGTCACTCAGGGAGAGGGAGGAGTGCTGGCATGTGCAGCAGGGCTCCCCCCCCCCAACCCGCCCTCCACCCCTCCTGTTTCTGTAGCTCGTGTAGAAGATGCATCCGCCTCAGGGAGTGGCCCTGGATGGTGATCTGGATGGTTCCTGAAACCTAAAGCTTAGTCCAGGCCTTTAGTGTACTGTTCCTTCACAAGCTCCCCTCTGTGGCCGGCAAATGTGACCTCTTAGTGAAAAAAACAAAAGAAACTCGGGTTTTTCTGCATGTGGCCAGCAGAAGGCAGAGTGACTCCTTTCTTCACGCGGTCCCCACCGGTACTACTGGAGTCGGTCCTGCCCCTGAAAGTAGTTACAAGCTGTTCGTGCAGTGTACAAAAGAAAGGTTACCACAGGAGAAACAGCCTCACACCAACAGCCCCCAGCCTGCCCCCCAGCACCCCCTGTGGTAAATCGAAACTACCTGCCCATGTCGCCCCACTTTGACCAAGAGAATGATCGTGCTACGTTCCCTAATGTGCCTGGTTCTCAGATGAGTGTGCTTCAAGGAAAATGGACAGGGTCCAGGAGACAGAGCTCTTCTTATCCCTGAGGGGGGACCACCTTCCAGACTGCAGAAAGCGGTGCTCTCGGTATCTGGCTCCTCTGTTTCTCCCTCCTTAATCAGAAACTTCCCAAGTAAAGCTTCATCTCTTTGTGATGTTAAGCTCTGCTCTCTCCTGATGTAGCCAGGGGATTGTGATTCATCTTAACCTTCTGCTTTTTTTTTTTTTTTAATTAGTTGAGAGACCGCTCCCATTGCCTGTCCTACTCCCCAAATGCTCACAAAAGTTGGGGGTGGGGGCGCACCAAAACTGGGAGCCAGGAACTTAATCTCGGTCTCCCACCTTGGTGGCAGGAGCTCAGCCATCTGAGTCATCACAGCTGCCTCAGGATCCACGTTAGCAGGAAACGAGTGAAGCTGGCGCTGTAGTTGAACCAGGTGCTTCAGGTTGGGACACAGGTGTCCCGGGTAGCATCTCAGCTGCAAGAATGAATGCACACTCCTCAAGTCGTAGAGCCGCATAATCTGGGAACACAAGGGAGCCTGTGGTGGTGGGGTTAGTGAGCTTTTTTTTTTTTTTTTTTTTTTAAGATTTATTTGAAAGGCGGAGTGATGGGGTAGAGAGAGAGAGATCTTCCATCTGCTGGTTCACTCCCTAGATGACTGCAGTAGCCAGATCTGGGCCAGGCTGAAGGCAGGATTCAGGAACTTCATCCTGGTCTCCTACATGAGTGCAGGGGCCCGAGCACTTGCGCCATTATCCACTGCCTTCCAGGGTACATTAGCAGGGAGCTAGATTGAAAGCCGAAAAGCTTGAACTTGAACCAGCAGTTTGGTACTGGATGCTGGTGTCACAAGCGGCAGCTTAACTTGCTGAGCACAATGCTGACCGCAGCCTTCTTAATCACCTCGAGCCCATCCTGACTTCTTTCTGATCATGTTATCCCTGGTTTCTGTTCGCAAGAAGGACGAAGCCGAAGATGGGATCATTCATTTTAGTACAGGTAAAGAAGTTGAGGTAGAGAAGTAAGTTACTTGTAAGGTGGCAAAGCTAGTTAGCTGAACAACTTTAATTAGTATCTAGGCTTTTTTTTAATTTATTTTTGCCCTCTATTCTTGGCCTCCTTAGATCATAATTTTGGTTGGTAGTCTTAGGAATCCTGGGATGCCAAGAAATGTTTGTGGCTGGATCTGTATTTCAGTTGAACATTTGCCATTCCTCCTTCTTCACTCCTGTACTACAGGGCTAAGCAGCCAGGGCAGGCTGTTTCTGCAGTGCTTCAAATAGCTACTCCTGCTCTTTGTTGCAGCTGTTTTCGAAAGGCTTTCTCCCCAAGAGCTGAGTTGGGTTCTTCCACTGTGCTGACAGGCCTCTCAGCTGAGCCATCTGACATGCAGGGTGGCAGGGATGAAGTCACCACCGTCCAGCATTTATTTTAAGCTTCCATGGCCTGGGCATGGAAAAAGCACGCCAAAGAAAAGTAACTTGGAGAGTTGACATTAAGGATATCTGCGGTGAGAGCTAGCAGCACCCACACAAGCAGTCCTGGTGTGAATAGTGTTCTCCACGGAGCCTTGAGGGAGGTTCAAAAGGAAAAGGAATAAAAGCAAATTAACAGTCCCAAGAGCTCAGGAAAGGAGAGGCAGGAGGTGGGTTATTGACTGGGTTTTTTTTACATGACTTAACTAGTAAAGCTATGGTGGGACTCCCCATACATGTGATTTTAATTCACAAGTAATGGGTAAACACTCACTTTGCAGTTAGAGATAATAGCTGTTACTGGGCAGATAAACAATGGAAGAAATGGTGTCTGCCCTAGAGGAACTTACAGCCTCATTGAGACACCATTTAATGGCAAGACAGCATAGGCAGTACAGTTGTGCACAGGGAAAACCCAGCTGGACTCATTAGATGGTGGGGGAAATGGGAATTAAAGTGGGTCTTGCAAGGTGGCTGGTATTTAAACAGTCCAGTTCAATTATCGCTGAATAGTGCCTACAACACGCCAGGCACTGTGGTAAAACACAGGTGACGTGCGGCTGCTGTTGCTTTCAAGGAGATGATACCCTGGTGGGGAAGCTACACACAGGAAGTGATACTGCAGTGCTGTACGGGGGCGTTGGCAGTTGAGACGCTACTTAGAGGAATAGGGATGAGTAAGAATTGCTAAATATTTTGTGGGTTTTGTTTTAAAATGTTTTATTTGAAAGGCAGAAGAGGGAGCTCCAGTCTGCTAGTTCATTCCCCAAATGCCTACAATGGCCAAGGCAAGAGCCAGAAGCTGGAAACTCAACCCAAGGCTCCACGTAAGTGGCGAGAATCCCAGTACCAGAGTCACTGCCACTGCCTCTCCAGATCCGCGTTATCAGAAGATGGAATCAGGAGCCAAAGCCAGGCATCGAAACCAGTTTCTCTGCTGTGGAATTGCAGACCCCCTAGCCAGTGTCTTAACTGTAAGGCCAAATACTGGCCCCTAATGATTGCTAACTATTTTGAATGCCATGCTAAGTTCTTACTTTACATGACCTCATTTAATTCTTAATAACTCTATGAAGTAGCTCTTTACTATTTCCATTAAACAAAAGAGAAAAAAAATTTAGAAAACAAAACTAAAAGAAAAAAAGTAGGGCAAAGTAACTTCCCTAAAACCCCAAGTCCTGTAGCTGCTGAGAGCAGAAGCAGGATTCACTCCACTGACTGCAAAGGCTGGGGGAAACTAGTGAGACAGTCTCATGGAGTAAGTTCTGAAGGATGAACAGGATGTCTCCAGAGAAGTGAGGTGGACAAGGAAGCACACCTTGAGGAGACAGAGTGGATGCTGGTGTTTCCTGAAGTGGTGTGATCAGTCAGTCCTGGAGAATGGCTGGAGGCCAGGCCAAGAAGATAGACAAGAGCCAGTGGCGTGCAGGCAGGCGTAGGGACCAGGAAGGGGATACTAGCCAGATCTGAGTTAGGCCATTGTCAAAAAAACCATGTGGAGAAGAGACTTAAAGGGATGTACAGTGACAGACTAGTTCTAGTATTAGGCCACCTGGTTTTAAATCATCATTTTGACAACTCTGGACAAGTTTCTTAAACACTTCCTAGGGGGCCAGCATTGTGATGCAGTGACAAGGCTGGCATTCCAGCCATTCCAGCTCCTAGCTAATGTGTCTGGGAAAGCAGCAGAGGATGGCCCAAGTACTTGGGGCCGTGCCACCCACAAAGGAGACTCAGATGGAGTTCTTGTTCTGGCTTCAGCCTGGCCCAGATGGGCATTGTGGCCACTGGGGAGTGAACCAGTGGAAGGAAGATTCATTCTACCTCCCTCCCTCCCTTCCTGTCTCTCTGTTACTCTGCCTTTTGAACAAATCAATCTTAAACAAAACAAAAAACACATCTCTCTTCTTCAGTCTACTTATTTGCAACATAAGAATGATGTGTCAGCCAGCGCTGCGGCTCACTAGGCTAATCCTCCGCCTTGCGGCGCCAGCACACCGGGTTCTAGTCCCGGTTGGGGCGCCGGATTCTGCGCCGGCACACTGGGTTCTAGTCCCGGTCAGGGCGCCGGATTCTTTCCCAGTTGCCCCTCTTCCAGGCCAGCTCTCTGCTGTGGCCAGGGAGTGCAGTGGAGGATGGCCCAAGTGCTTGGGCCCTGCACCCCATGGGAGACCAGGAGAAGTACCTGGCTCCTGCCATCGGATCAGCGCGGTGCGCCAGCCACGGTGGCCATTGGAGGGTGAACCAACGGCAAAGGAAGACCTTTCTCTCTGTCTCTCTCTCTCACTGTCCACTCTGCCTGTCAAAAATAAATAAATAAATAAAAGAGTAATCTGAGGAGTAGGATTTATTCAGGTAAATGGTTTAGACTGGAAAAGGGGGTCTTCCAGGTGGGAAGAACACTATGTAAAAGGATTCAGAGCAGTTACATTGTGGAAACTGAAAATTCAGCCACAGGAAACATGGGAGGGTAAGGCCAGAAGAAGGAAGCAAAATTCAGATCAACAAATAGGCCCTTTGGACTTTGTCCTAGAGGCAATGAGAAGCTGCCGTTCAAAGATCTTTTGCAAGGCAGTGGCATGATCAAGTAGGCTCTGTAGAGTAATCTGACTGCAGAGAAAGGGACTGGCAAGGGTAAAACGTATGTGGTTGTGCTAGTAGTGAGATGGGAAAACAGAGGGGGCTGGCTGCGTGAGGAGAAAGAGGAGTTCACTCTGGAGCAAAATAAGTTTAAAGTAAGAATAAAACTCTTTAGGTGGAGAATTCTCTGCTGCACTTCACTTAGCGAGTTGAATAAAGAGCCAGACACTTTATTATGTTGGTACAATACTGTGGGTG